TCAAGCACGTTGACCTAGATCAATATAGTTTTCCCAGTCTCGGACACAACAGATACTGATTTTGATAGTGTCGTTATTATTTTTATTGTTACCCTCTTTTACTATTTTTCTATATAACCATTATTTTTATTTTCATTTTCATTCTTATTTTTTTCTTATAGTTGGTCTTACTATTATCAATATTATCTTTATTATTATTATTATTATTATTTGATTTCTGGTGTGTACACATTTCTTTCCGGGTCCCGCCCAGAGATCTAAGGTTAGAAATGGCATCATGACATTTTTCACTGACCAATTAAAAAAAAATATAAAGCCCTTCGTAAGGTGTGGGCTGTACTCATGAGAAAAATGTTTTATATTTCTTTAAAGCATGGGCTTCCAGGGATCCCTTCAATGAGTCTACTAGAATATTTTCCAACCAATCCGAGGGCTCCAACTGCAAGTGGGATTGTTGAAGTTCCCATGTGCCACCTTTTTGAGATTTCGATTTCAAGGTCCTTGTATTTTGATAGCTTTTTGAAGATCTTCAAAGATACATTGCAGTCTGCAGGGACTGCCATATCAATAAGGAGGCAATTTTTTTGTTTGCTGTATCTAATAACAATGTCTGGGCGGTTAGTATTAGTATTAGTTTTTATCTATTTTACTTTTATTATCATTTTATCACTAAAAATCTTTTTATTTTATTAATTTTTCATAATTAATCACTAACAATTTTTTAGCAAAAATAAATGTTACCACCTTTATCTTTAAACATATTTTACTAACAGCCTCTGTTTTTAACGAAAATTATGTAATTAAAATTAGAAATAGAATTTCTAATAATTATTATTCTTACATGTAAGTTTGAGTACAAATTCAAATTCAAGATTAGATTATAGTGCAATTAAATATTTATTTACAATTATAATCCACCCAAAAAACAATATATCTCGCGAGACTCATAAATATTACACAAACGGTGTTATCCAAACGGCAAAAACTCAAATTAGTTCCACATGCCATGTCTAATGGATGTCTGTTATCAGTTATCTTCTGTTAATTACCCTCTCCAAGTACTCCACCGCCTTAAGGACACATGGCACAGTGGGTAAAGGCGTTGGTTAGATCTATTGACAGGACCCAAAGAATATGAGTCCAATACCAGCTTAAGGCGAAACTAGAACAGTCTACCCCAGTGAGCGAAATAAAGGGTTCAGTTCAACATTTCAACCAACTGAAGAAGACCGGAGCGTACAACGGCCGAAACTTTGTAATAAATATGGCGACAAAGATGAGGACAATAGTCCGAATAATGTAAATAGTGTACATAATAGCTCATCTCAGAAATATAAACAGATAAATAAATATATTGTTTAACGAATAAACTGAACGCTACTCAAATCCGAGTATCCACTAAAATAACTTTTAAAGTCTAGAAGCTTTGTCATTTAATATATAATATAAATTAAATAATTTCTTATCTGTTGTCGATTTTTAATGACATGTCGACCCAGGAGGCATTCGATTATAGATTTCCACATACTCTTTTGTTTTAATATTTGCGAATCGACATCTTAATAAAGGTAATCTATTAATTTTTCCTGACAGATGAAGAAGAGACTTGAAGCAACAGAAAGTGTGGTTCTACAGAAGGATGCTGAGGATACTATGGAAAGAACATGTGAGCAACAACGAGGTTTTAGAGAAAATGAAAACAAAAAGAACGCATACATAACATCAGGAAGCGACAGTTGAAATTTCTATGGCACATAATGAGAAAATACTGCGTGGAAAATATGACACACACAGGGCAGATGTAAAGCAAGAGGCACAGAGGGAAACTACGCATAACCTATCTTGCGATTCTGTGTAAATGGATGGTACAACAGGCTTAGGGGGATGACAAAAAGATAGAATTTATTTAGAGCTACAAAGAAAGGAAATCGCGGAGAGCCTTGATAGCCAACGGCCTGAATCAACGTGGTACATAGAAGAAGAAGCTCCGGTTGTAAATAGAAGTTGTCGTTTTTCTAGACTGAGATAAGGTTAGAGAGTACAGGCTATCCAGTAATTTAACCCATAGGTGGGAGTAGAGATATAGATACAAGCATTTCTCAAGGGTATTAATACGAAGTGAATCTATCAGACATAGCAGAAACTTGAACTCGCCTACTTTGCAGTCTGTATCAATAAGCGTTACGTTACCTATACACAGTAGTGACATCCTACAGGTTCGCACAAAACCGATTCTTAAAATTATAAAAGCTTAGCAAACCGGTTTTTGGATTATCCGAAAATAATCTTATATATTAATAGCCGATGGTCTATGTAAAATGTGAGTTACTCTACTCTAATAGACCCACGCCCACTAAGTAATAAATCTCATAACATGTTATAAAATTCATGAATTAGTTAATATTGTGAATCCATATTCTTGGAACATAGAAGAAGCTGTAGTTCCTTGTTGAAAAGAAGTTACCGGACTTCTTTAAAGTATTTCGCCATGAGATCTCTCTTAATGATTTCCGTGTTTACGTTGAAAACGCAACAAGAATTTAGCATAAACCTATACTCAAAACTATCCCATGATCTAAAAATATAATTAATACCATTGCCGAAAGTTCTGCCTTGTCTAAAAGAGTGTTTTCTGTGATGAACATAATTTATTCTGACAGAAGAAATCGTCTTGAAGTTAAAATGGTGGCAAACCTTCTAGTCATGAATTCTTCCATTGGTTTTTGTGAACGGCTGCAATTCAGTTCGAATGTGGATAAAAAACCATAACATAGTTGATGACACTAGAGTAAAATGGCATCATATTTCGGAAGAGAAATATGACGAGAACAGAATTTCAATCTGGAAATATAAAATTATATATTTAATAAATAAATGTTTCCTATGAAATTATTAAAATGGCTTAATTCTTTTTTATACCGGGTGTAACAGCAAAATAGTCCAAATTGTGTAACAGCAAAATTGTTCAATTGTTAGAATAAGCTTTGAACCCTTTTATCTTAAAAATAATTAATTATATCTTACTGGAAATCGGAATGGTTTTTATAACACTATTGGACTCTACTTTAAGCAATAAGAATGTATTTAGCACTAAGTTGAAATAATGTTCCGTATTGCAGTTGTGACCTTCTGATCAAGTTTTCCTCGTTAATTCTCATACTATTTTAAACTTATTCACCGTTCCATTGATGGTTCTTGAATAAACTTTGAAGATGGAAGCCAGAGTATGAATGTTGGTACCATTACTACAGGCCTGAGTGAAAAAGGTTTTTTCCTCTCACCATTGCTCATTTGGGAAGATATGGTGGGACTGACACAAAACCTGCTCACTTTCTGTCTGAATAACCCAAAGGGGTTTTCAGTGATTCTTAAGACAAATGGTGTCAAGATGGCTAAATGTCTTCTCTGAAAAGCTGGTTAAAAAGAAACTTAATTAGTTTAGTGTTATTTTTTTTTTAGATATTGAACATTTTCCCATGCTGTTACACGATTTAGACAATTTTGCTGTTACACCTGGTATATAAAGTGATTTGTTTCCATTCTCAGATTAAAAAGAAAATAAGCAGAATAGATTACCTGTCTTAATAGAACTGCTTCCTGGAAATGTGCCATTCCATTATTGCCGACACACAAAACAGCTCTCTATTAATTAATCACCACAGAGATCCTTCCCTGCCCCCCATTAGAATGTCTGACGCTCAACTTCTCGAGATCACCTCTCTGCGGTTGCTCGGTCTCACATTGACGGCTGACCTGAGATGGAACAAATACATTGAGTCAATTGCTTCGTCTACCGCAAGGAAAGTTGGCTCCCTGTGCCGCGCCAGGAATTTTTTCTCCCCGGAATCGATACTTCAAATCTACAAACAAACAATTCGCCCTTGTATGGAGTATTGCTGCCATATATGGTATGGAACCCCTTCTGTTTGCCTCGGGGTTCTTTATAAGATCCAGTGACCGATATGCAATATAATTGGCCCTGTTCTGGCATCTCGTCTACAGTCGCTCTCTCACAGACGCGCCGTCGCATCCCTCTGTCTGTTCTACAAATACTTTCATGGTAATTGTTCCGAGGAGCTGCATTCGCTGGTTCCCAAACTTCAGGAATTCAAGCGCCCTACGAGGCTGGCATCCCGCTCTCACCCTTCCACTGTGGAAACTATTAAATGTAGCCGTCTCTTCTACACCAGTAGCTTCATATCTCGCACGTCTCGCCTGTGGAACTCCCTTCTCTATTCCAGTTTCCCTGAGAGCTATAATCTTTAACTATTCAAATGTAATGTCAATCGACATCTCCAGTTGTCTTGATCTATCCACTATCCTTCTCCTCATCCTTTCCTCTATCACTCCTATCTGATCTTGCTCCAAATCTTCTGTAACCCCTTGCGTCCTAGTGGCTTCCCGCCTTGCTTGGGGTGAAATGCTTAGAAAAAAACATATCAGTCGATACAAAGCGAATAAAGATTTGTAAAAAAAAATAGGTTAAATGTCACTTCGAGAAATCCTAAAATACCAGTGCTTATTATACACGATAGACATTTCTCCAGAATTTCCGAACCCGAAATGGGGGTACACAGCGTACATGTGTATTATACACGAATAATTAAGGTTTATATATAGACTGAGCCGCAAAGTAAAAAAAAAAAAAAAAGAAAACATTTTTAGAGGTTTGATTTCTCGTAAAACCTTTTCGTTTTTTAGTTTTTTTTTTTTTTTTTTTTTTTTTTTTTTTACTTTCTCCGACAAAATTGAGTTTACAAGACTTGTTAAAATTCTACGATTTTTTTTTCTTTTCTATACAATAACAATTCAATTTGGAGGTGGAACCTTAAAACGCTCAGATCCATTAGCCGCTAAACTAATAAGCTACACCTGCGAATACTTACAGACGAAGTTAGATGTGATATGTTTAGGACATTTTCACCGAAAGAAGTAAAAACATCTCGAAGAAGTGACACGAAGATCACCGAGAAAATAAATAAAATATATTTGATTACGTCTTAACAATTGAATCTGACACGCTTCTCAAGTAGAATAAGCATTTTAAAATAGATAGATAGATATATAGATAGATAGATAATGAACAGACTGAGATAGATAGATAGATAGATAGATAGATAGATAGATAGATAGATAGATAATGAACAGACATACATAGATAGATAGATAATTTTTTTAATCATTTCACCCCAACCAAGGCGATAATTCCACTAGGACACAGGCTGTTACATAAAGATTGAAAGAGAATAAGGAGACTTTAGTGAGGAGAAGTGAGGAAAGGAACAGAGCCAACGAATATAGAAAGTTGTCGATTGACATTGCATTTCAATTTTTTGAAGTGTGCAGATGGCAAGGAAGCAAGAAATCAAAAGGGCTTTTCACAGGTGATAAGTGCGAGAAATGAAAAATGTTGGAATAGAAGTGATGGTTGCATCTTCGCTAGTTCAACATAAAAATTAACAGATTGAGATAGATAGATAATGAACAGATAGATAGATAGATAGATAGATAGATAGATAGATAGATAGATAGATAGATTAACAGATTGAGATAGAGTACAGATTAGAGTAAACCTGAATATATTTGTATGATTTTATTATCAAATATACGCGGGGATTCTTTTATGTTCCACGATCAGGCATCTTCACAACTTCCTATCCTGTTGATCTAAGTAACCTTTAACCACATATCAAACCTTTTGTACTCATTCTGTCAGCCATTCAACTGGTTAGTTGTTTAGATAGATAGATAGATAGATAGATAGATAGATAGATAGATAGATAGATAGATAGATAGATAGATAGATGAATATGCAACATGAATGATTTTGAAGTTAGATCAGAACTAACAACATAAACACAGAAAATATACTGAAACATAACCCCTTGAAAAAGTCTAATGGATGAAGCGGAGTATCTTGAGACAATAATGACTATGGATGGTTTCTACACTCTGTTAATGCCCACAAAAGGAAAACTGTAAGGACATTAAAAAGATTGAACAAAAACTTAATCTTTCTTGTCATTCATATACACTGAAACATGTATAAAAGAAATATTGTTACCCCTATATATAATACAAGTCGCGAACAATAAATTGTCGCCTTTATATTTTTAATATCGCGCATGTGCGTTGTTTGTTTTTGATTTTGCCCACTGCATCGTATAATAGGGACAGTTGGGCACCGTCCGTGAGAAAAAGAGTACCATGATGCAATTCACTCCACCAGAAATTTGGAAACGGCATGCTGTACTGTTTGGCATTCACGCCAGAAGCTCCAATACGAACATTTCAGTGGGTTTGGGTGTCAATCTGAGGACAGTGAAGAGGATTCAGAAAGGGTTACATGATATATTCAGTCAACATCATAGTGCTAGCAATGATCACTTGTGATGTCGACATTATACCTCCACATGGACTCAGACCCAACACAGAGGCCTACAACGCGTGCCTTGAGGTGGTATTGCTGCCCTGGGTCTAGAGCAAGGGTCGGCAACCTACGGCCCGCGGGCCGGATCCGGCCCGCGAAGGCATTTTGGCCGGCCCGCGAGCCTGATTACCAATGACTCTATTTTTAACATGAGAGACGACCTTCAAATGAAATTTGTTATATGTCATTTTCCATAGAATGTCTACACATCTCAGTGCACTAAAAATATTAGACTATCTGCCAGTTATCTTTCATGATACTTATTTTACCAAGTTGCGTTGCCTGCGTTTAATGTCAAATAATGGATACATATTTGTTATGACCCTTGGCTACATTAAAAGATAACAGAAGCGAAAGGAGCGATAAAGCGAAAGAGGCCAGGGAGGGACTGACATAAAGAAACATAAAGATAGTTAAACATACGCGCATTATACAGACATGCCTCATGAATGTGTGGATGATACCGCATATGTACGTACGTAAGTGTATATGTTTGCAACTATTTGTACTCGTATGTATGGGTATATGTGCTTCGTTTTTGTTTGATGTGTGTGTGTGTGTGTGTGTGTGTGTGTGTGTGTGTGTGTGTGTGTGTGTGTGGTTCGTTTGTGGAACAATTTTCGATGACAGTTTCAAACCTACACGTCATAATTTCATCCATTTCACTTCGGTTGATTTTTTTCAATTTGAAGTATTTTGACGTTCCTTGAGGAAAAGTAATTTTTGTTAGGTGTTTTTTAATTTTAGATTTTCTTTTGTTTTTTCTGATTTCTCAATGTTTATTTTCATTATGGTTTTAAATATTTAGGTTGACAGGGGTCTGCATATGTAATTTTCCTTAATTTTTCATTAATGGCCTTCGTCAGGCCCGCGACCCGTCATTATAGAACGATCCGGCCCGTGGGGTCGAATGAGTTGCCGACCCCTGGTCTAGTGGATGGCTGCTGCAAGACCCTCTGTCTGGCAACATCTCTGAACCAAAAGCAGGAGAATCCAATCATGGCTGACATAGAATTTCCGCGACCACATCACCCTTTACTTATGGCCACCTAACTCCTCAAACTGCAACCCCCCTTGAATGTGAGAATCGTAGATGCGCGAGAGACCAAGAAAACTCCTTGTAACACAAAAGTTGAACTGAAGGCAAGAATTCGGGCAACATTCACCGACCAATTACTTATTGGTCGGTGAATGCTGGCAGGAAGAAGAGTTGCAGGAGATTCCGAAGTCGTCTGGAGGTTTTGATTGAAGCTGATGCCGATTTTATTAAATAAATTTACTTTTTAGTATTTCAAGATATTTTGGGGTAATTTTGATAAAAAAAAAAAATATCTGTTAAAATGAGATGTCAGTGTAATTTATAGTTTTGCGTCATTTAGACGACAATTTATTCATCGCACCCTATATATATATATATATATATATATATATATATATATATATATGGGACAATGATATATAAATTTTTATATATCACGAAAAATTTCAGGGGAAAGATGTATGAAAAGGTAGAAAATTTTTCGTATAATCGGCTAGATGAGAGGCGAAAAACGAATATATAAAAAAATATCTTTAAATTTAAAATTCCCAGTGCGGCTCGTTCATGCGCATGCGTCGTTGCATCAACCTAAACAAATTTAGTCCGATTAAGTCTTAAATGACGAAACGCATCACACAAAAAACTTTTTCTACTTTCTCATATCTTTCACCTAAAATAATATATATATATATATATACATACATACATACATATATATATATATATATATATATATATATATATATATATATATATATATATATATATATATATATATTATGCGTGTTTTCTCTGTGTGCTCTCTACTACAGAGGTAATTACTAACACAATTTTGTGTATATATATATATATATATATATATATATATATATATATATATATATGTAGGCATGTAGGGTATATATATGCGCGGATTGAGTATATGTAAATGTGTGTATTGATGGGGAGGTGATGGGGGGATGCAAATAGATAAATAGATATTTCGCAAATTGAGTCGATACCGTAATTTGCTAGACAAAATTGAACACGTTCGATTTTGCATTTTATGGAACATGAAAAAGGGAGAAAGCGATTTCTTCATCGTCTCCCTTTTATCGATTCCAACTTGGTGGCAATAGACCATTATTGGAAACAGCCTCGGATGTCGCCTGTCGGAAAATTGGAACGAAGCCCAGTAAAAAAAAAAGTCACCGATGACGGTGCCAGCAGCTGAGGAATGCGAGCAAAGAAAACGATCCCAAGTTTCTTTTTTTTTTTTTTTTTCATATTCGAACAAATCGAAATCGAAAACTTGTGTAGTATACAAAAACAAAGAACAATTTCACCATTGCCTCACGAGTAACTGTTAAGGGCCTTAAAAGGTGACTTAATCTAGATATATTTAGGGAAGAACTTAAAAATTCAGGCAGGTTTCGATTCTCCTTCATGAGGAATGACGAATTTGAAAGAGAAATATTCATACATAATTATATATATATATATATATATATATATATATAATAAAAAGGCTTAAACACTAATATTCCATCGTCATAATTTATTCTATTGGAATCGTAAATACGATCCAATTCATCAGACCTACAAATTAAAAAAAAAAAAAACGGAAAAAAGAAAAAAACAACTCCGGAAATAAAAAATAAAATTTAGAGAGAGTGTAAGTATGAGAGTGTCGGACGAATGTTAGAGCTATAGAGAGGGGTAACAGACAAGAGAAGGTGGTGGATTAAAATTTAACAGAGAGAAGTTTTAGTGAGGTGAGTCAAAGACGGTTTAAGTGAGAGAAATATGAATGTTGTCGGATGTCTAATACATTAAAGATGTAACCGGAAAGGATACATTTTGTGATGACATACACACACAATAGACGATCTAATCTTAAAAATCAGAAGAAGAGGGAGGGAGAAGAAAAGAAAAAGGGGTGGGGGAAAGGGATGATGCGGGGGAAACTAAAACTGAAGAGCATTTACTGAAAGGGCCGCTGTGTAATTAAGAAACTTTGACAAAATTAATATCGACTACAGGTTACAAATCAAATATAAACATATAAAAAATAAATATAACGATTACCTAATCTAGCAAGGACCTATATTCCTATGTTCAAAAACACATGCGTATACACACATACACAATAACATATACACGTACATATAGGCGTGTAGACACATACACACATATACCCATGTATACATATACACAAATATAGATATATATATTCGTATACACATACATATATATATTTATACATACACATACATACATACACATACACAGGCATATATGTATACATATACATACATAAATACACACACACATACATACATAAACACATAAACACATACACTCCTACATATATATACATTTACACACATATATATACATACGGACATAAACATACGTGCACATAAACATATATACATAAAACCTTACATCTCCATACAATTACATACACTATATATATATATATATATATATATATATATATATATATATATATATCTTATGCAGTGTTACATTAGAACATGCACATACCCACTACAAAATTGTACATTTTGTTTCAACGTCAAAAGAAAAAACCTTTTTAAACATCTGATCAGGTTGGAAATCACGATGTTTTATTTTGAACGCGGAGACGTTACTGTTCATTCTTATATATATATATATATATATATATATATATATATATATATATATATATATATACATAGAGAGATGTATGTGTGTGTGCGTGTGTGTGTGTGGATGCGTGTATGTGTGTGGATGCGTGTGTGTATATGAGTGAATGGGAGTCTATGTAGATATATTTCTATATGCATATCGACAATTACACACGCACACACGGATACACACATGAGTATGTGTTCATGTAAGTGCAATTGTTCAAAAATTTGCGGTTATTTGACGTCCTGGGTAAGACCATAAACTACGTCCTCTGATCAGGAGGTTTTGAGGAGCGTGAAATCACCTCTTAATTTCTGGTGTTCCCATGTCCACCCCGACCCCGGGTGGTAGCACCTATTAGGGTGCCCCAGCTATGGGCAAATACTTAACCCCGAAACTGGGGTCAAAACACCATGAAACTGTAAAAATGGGTTTCGATATCAGCAATTAATTTTTGAGTAAAAATTATTACCAGCAATGCATTTTTGAAGGAAATTTTACCAGCAATGCATTTTTGAAGGAAATTTTACCAGCAATGCATTTTTGAAGGAAATTTTACCAGCAATGCATTTTTGAAGGAAATTTTACCAGCAATGCATTTTTGAAGGAAAAAGTATAACCAGCAATATTTTGGGCAAAGAATATTACCAGCAATAAAAAACGTTGACATTAAATAAACCATTGTTGATGATATGCCGTAAAACAAACAAAATGAAAGTGTAAATATAGGTTTTAATACCATAAAAGCTTATATATATATATATATATATATATTTTATATTTGTACGGTACTTATTGGAAAGTGCTCAATATCAGTTGCATGGGTATGAGTGTGAGACCCTGGATTTCACGCTTTTGAGAATTTGTCTGATGATCGCAAAAGCGTGAAACCCAGGTTACAAACTCATATCCATGCAACTGAATAATATATATATATATATATATATATATATATATATATATATATATATATATATATGTACAAACCGTAATGCCTGTCTAATATAGGAACTGCGCAAACCAGATATTTTATTTGGACTGCTAAGAATATTATATACATATTTATATCTATTTAATAGCTCTGTTATATCACATCGGGCACCAGCCCCCAGCGGTATATATACATACATATATATATATATATATATATATATATATATATATATATATAGATAGATAGATAGATAGATAGATAGATAGATACAAGCAGACTGAAATAGATATTAATATGGCTATGACGAGATATAGATAGATAGATAGATAGATAGATAGATACGAGCAGACTGAAATAGATATTAATATGGCTATGACGAGAGATAGATAGATAGATAGATAGATAGATAGATAGATAGATAGATACGAGCAGACTGAAATAGATATTAAGATGGCTATGACGAGACATAGATAGATAGATAGATAGATAGATAGATAGATAGATAGATAGATAGATAGATGCGAGCAGACTGAGATAGATATAAAGATGGCTATGACGAGATAGATAGATAGATAGATAGATAGATAGATAGATAGATAGATAGATAGATCGATAGATAGATAGATAGATAGATACGAGCAGACTGAAATAGATATTAAGATGGCTATGACGATAGATATATAGATAGATAGATAGATACGAGCAGACTGAAATAAATATTAAGATGGCTATGACGAGACATAGATAGATAGATAGATGGATAGATAGATAGATACGAGCAGACTGAAATAGATATTAAGATGGCTATGACGATAGATAGATAGATAGATAGATAGATAGATAGATAGATAGATAGATAGATGCGAGCAGACTGAAATAGATATTAAGATGGCTATGACGAGACATAGATAGATAGATAGATAGATAGATAGATAGATAGATAGATAGATAGATAGATAGATACGAGCAGACTGAGATAGATATTAAGATGGCTATGACGAGACAGATAGATAGATAGATAGATAGATAGATAGATAGATAGATAGATAGATAGATACGAGCAGACTGAAATAGATATAAGATGGCTATGACGATAGATAGATAGATAGATAGATAGATAGATAGATAGATAGATAGATAGATAGATAGATACGAGCAGACTGAAATAGATATTAAGATGGCACTGACGATAGATAGATAGATAGATAGATAGATAGATAGATAGATAGATACGAGCAGACTGAAATAGATATTAAGATGGATGTGACGATAGATAGATAGATAGATAGATAGATAGATAGATAGATAGATAGATAGATAGATACGAGCAGACTGAAATAGATATTAAGATGGCACTGACGATAGATAGATAGATAGATAGATAGATAGATAGATAGATAGATAGATAGATAGATAGATACGAGCAGACTGAAATAGATATTAAGATGGATGTGACGATAGATAGATAGATAGATAGATAGATAGATAGATAGATAGATAGATAGAGTTTTCACACACTGATGTTTAAGTTCTTTATTTAATCATTCAATTTCTCTTTTCCTTGCAAACAAACCTGTCGCTCTCCATGAAATAGTTATAAATTTCACGAAAAATTATCAACTCCGTCGCTTATATCTACAAAAACGGTCATGATTTTTACTCATTTTAAATTCCATTCCTTTTTTTTATGTCATTCCTTCTTTGAACGTGATAAATATTTCAGTGTGCTAAAGTTTATTTTCGAAATGTATACTGGTTTACTCTTTTACTTTTGTCTCCCATATTGAAAGTTTTACACCATTTTTATTATCATTGTTATTTTCATTATTAAATAGCTGTCACTTCCCCGTGTCTTCGATTAAATACCTTATAGAAGAACACAACGGGGAACGACAGGCAATAAACGAGAAACAGCAGTGATATCATTTTTTTCGTAGTTCAACTTCTATTCTTCATAGAATTGCGATTCTTTTTGTCTTTCTGTTTCTGTTGGTTTCTTTCCTATTTGTTTTACAAGTTTTCTTCCATTTCAAACGCGTTCCTACTTGACAGTATTTTTTTTTTGTCTTTTATTCGTCATTCCATTTTGTGAATTGATTGCACTTGTCTCCTTCTTCTTCATCCTGCTTTAATTTCTTTATATACAAAGAATCTGAGGCCCAAATGTTCGAGGAATTTCGGCAAACAGAATTACTTATTCGATCACCAAATTTCCAACTTCCTTTTGCGAAGCAAGAAATTTGTATATAGAACGCCATTTAGACTCTGGCAACGTTATAGTAATAGGTAGTACTTCTTTTTCTATTTCTCCTTTTTTAAAATCTTCTTCATTTTCTTTTCTACTTCTGCGACTTCCCATAATTCTTCATTTGTTTTCACACTTTTGGTTCTATCTCTTTGAATCATTATCTGTTGGAGATTGTACGCGCGTGCACACACACAAACACACAAACACACACACATATATATATATATATATATATATATATATATATATATATATATATATATATGTGTGTGTGTGTGTGTGTGTGTGTAGTGGATTCTGATTCAATATTTGATCTGCATTTGATATTTAACACACAAATGCAGATCAAATATGGATCGGAATCCGACATTTCCTACTTGTTCTATTTCTTATATATATATATATATATATATATATATATATATCAAAATAGATAGATATATATGGTGCGATGGATAAATTGTCGTCAAAATTACGCAAAATTAAAAATAGCATTGGTATCTCATTTTAACACATATATTTACGAAAATTATACAAAAATATCCTGAAATATCTTGAAATACTAAAAAGTAAATTTATTCAATGAAACCACCAATTGCTTCAACGACGGCATCCTGCCGACTTCGGAATCTTTTGCAACTCTTCTGGAATGTCTCCTTTATTAAGTAGGCAAAGGCAACCATAATTCTTACTTTCGGTTCATCTATAGTGTTACTCGCTCAACTACGGCCCACACATAATAATCAAGGGGGGTGCAGTCTTGGAAGTTAGGTGGTCAGATGTAAGGGGAGATATGGTCGCAGAAATTGTCTGACAGCTAATGATTTGGTTCTCCTGATTGAGTGACATGGTGCAGAGTCCTATTGCAAGACACAGGGTCTTCCACCAGCGACCCTCTTGATCCAGCGTAGCATTACCTATTCAAGGAAATTGATGTATGCCTCCGTATTGAGTCTGAGGCATTGTAGGAAAATGACTGGAAGCATAATATCATCATCGCTAGATATCACTCCAAACACCTTTATAATCACCATCAGAGTCATCCAGATCGTTTCGAATCCTCTACACTGTCCTCAGATTGACACCCAAACACTCTTAAATGTTTGTATTGGAGTTTCCGGTCCAAATTCCAAGCAGTACAGAATGCCGCTTCCAAATTTCCGACGGGATGAACTGCGTCAGTGTTCTCTTTTTCACACAGACGGTGCCCAACTGACCCAAAGTGCATATTGAGGTCAACACGCAGCGGCGATAAATCTATTTCACGATTTAGGCCTGACGATTGCGTTCATTTAAGCACACACACACACACACACACACACACACACACACACACACATATATATATATATGTAACGTGGAAAAGATTTTCGTGTGACAATTTTTTTAAGATGATTGAATAAACAGTTTATCCAATTTCTGTTAGTTTCTTTTTGTTTATATTTTTTATTTTGTTATTAAATATCCCACATTGTGATAATGCAAGATTTGACTAGAATGATCGCTTGATCGTCCAAAGTAAATTTATGTCTAGGCTTTTACAGCATTTCACCTTTTTATATAGGTCTGTTTCATGCTGTATGCAATCGTCAGGCCTGACGATTGCATATAGCATGAAACAGACTGTCGCCTCTAGTGTTGACTTCTATGTTCACTTTTATATTTACACACGCTCTATCTCTGATATTGAGCACTTTATTCCATAAATATAGCACAGCTTAAGACTATATTTCTTTATATATATATATATATATATATATATATATATATATATATATAGCTGGCGTATATGGTACCTGTATGGAGTCCATGACTCCATACAGGTACCATATACGCAAGCTAGATGTTTTCCATAAAAGCTGTCTGCGTGCAATCTGTGGAGTTAAGCTTCAAGATAGGACATCTAACGTAGACGTGTTTAATAGGTGTAATATTTGAGGAATCCAGACTTTTATCATACAGTCTCAGTTACGCTGGACTGGTCATGTCTTGAGAATGTCTGATGACAGGATACCCAAGATCCTAATGTACAGCCAGTTAGATCAGGGCTACGGGAATGTAGGACGCCAATGGCTAAGATACAAAGACAAGCTGAAAAGCAACTTGTCAGCAGGCAATGGAGATCAACGTGTTTTAGTGGACTCAGCAATTTTTTAATCTGCTTGTCTGAATCATCTTCAAGAAGCGAGAGCAAGATCTAAAAGGTCAACCAATCTAACAGTGATCTCATCTCACAATCCTCACACTTGCTCCATTTGTGGCCTCCTTTGTAAATCACTAGCGGGTCTTAAATGCCACAAGATTAGCGCATAAACTTTCATAACTGAATCAATAAGCTGGCAGATCCTCATACGTCGAAACCGACGAGAGAGTCCATTATATATATATCCCATAGTTATATCCATATATCCATAGATATATCCATATCCCATACATCAATAGATATATCCATATCCCATATCCGACGAATTCCGAAATGATAGGTTTAACGAGGCTTTCAAATTTGAGAATGTTCATCAATGTTCATCAAGTGGATGAAAGATCAGTCAAAATATATGGAGGTCACAAACTAAATTTCTGGCAAATAGTAAGCGAGTAGATAATCAAGAAGGTACAATTGCTGTATTTTCGAGCGATAAATCTCGAGTAATATTCATGATTTTTTTTTATAATGAATATTGTTTAGATTTTGATGAGATTTTTTGGATAATATTTTTTTGTTTGTTTCATTTATTCATCTAAGAAAAAGGAATATGCTGTGTATCCACACGGGATTTAGTAAATGGTCGGTTCTCAGCTGCATGATTCCATCTTTCCAGAAACTTCCTCCATAATCCTGCTAGCATAATCAAGAAATGGCGATTCCTGTTAATGTGAAAGCAGATGTGTGGATGTGTCAGAAATTTACGTGAAATTAAAATATACAGCAAAAAAAAAAAATTACCTACATTGCAGATTTCTACTCATGACGGGCAATTCTAAAACTTTTTGTACAATATTGTCTTTAACTCGAAGTAGATGTTTGTGACATCTGAACATAAGAAGCAATGTAATGAATGAGTCTCGGAGAGCGAAATTAAAGCGATGTTATGATAGTTACTTATGCTGTGCAGGGCTGACATTCCACAGAATATATATATATATATATATATATATATATATATATATATATATATATATATATATATATATATATGGTGAACAACAAAAAATATTAAAAAATTAAAATCTTCAAGCACACTGGGTTGTAGATTAATATTCTTTCGTTTTTATTATTATTATTTCATTTTGATTTCGCGACTAGTTTCGGCCAACATGGCCATCATCAGGAGAAAAAAAATTCTGCTTGCTGGTAGCAGTGAACTACAGAAATGAATGTCTTGATGGAGAAAATGAAATTTTGTCTGTAGTTTTCATTTGTTTTTTTGTTTTGGGGTTTTTTTTTATCTTTTTAACATGAATCTTTTAACATTCCTTGTGTTGGTCAAACAGTCTCTTTTAAGTTGTTATTTGAGATAAGAACTGGATGCATCCATGATGCTCTGCATTCCTTTGGTCAGTTTGACAGTTTTATTGGTTCCTGAAGAGAGGATGTGTATCTGTTAAGTGTGTGTGTGTGTGTGTGTGTGTGTGTGTGTGTGTGTGTGTGTGTGTGTGTGTGTGTGTGTGTGTGTGTGTGTCATTTGGTTCTTAGGGAGGGAGTGAGTATGATATGTGTAAGCGTGTGTATTGCTGTGGGTGTGTGTTATTATTTGGCTAATTAGGGGTGAGTGAGTATGATGTGTAAGTGTGTGTATGTTGTGTGGGTGTGTATAAGTGTGAGGTCTCCACACCTCCGTAATCATGTCTGTCTTTGTGGGTGAGAAATGTGGGTAGGCTTTTGATTTGTAGGATTATATATTAATACTATCTACATTGTTAAATTTATGGTTTAGCCCGGCTGGATATTGTGTTTTTAGACGTTGTATCCACTTATTTTCATGATACTCTAAAATCTTTCTAATGTTATCTGCTCTGAAATTTTCTATATTCTCAATATATATACATACATACACACACACACACACACACACATATATATATATATATATATATATATATATATATATATATATACATATATATATATATATATATATATATATATATATATATATATATATATTGGGTTTGAATAAGTGATCGTACATGAAAATATTTCATATTTTTATTTGTAACATATTAAATTAACAAAACGGGAATATATCTACTGTATCAGATTGCATACTAAAAATGTCTTCATATGAAACTAAATAATATTCCCTGGTTATAAAAATATAGCAATATTTAAATTTTTAGGGGTTTAAAAAAAGATCGTACAGCAGAACAAAAACATGTTTTCTCCCTTTAATATTTTGTAGCAAAGCCTTTATTAAATTCAACAGCAACCAATCTCTTCATGTCGTCTTTAATTAACGATTCTCTTACTTTAGTAAGTATTTTGTTCCATTCTCCCTGAGTAATTATCTTCAGGTTTTTGCTGTTTGTTGGACCTCTATCACGGATCTTATTTTTCAAAAACCGCCATAAATTCTCTATTGGATTCTAATCCGGTGACTGACTGGGCCATTGTAAGATTTTAACGTTATTAGCAAACCAATTCTTCGTACTCTTAGCAGTATGCTTGCGATCATTGTCC